GAGAGAGAGACAGAGAGAAAGGTCATCCTTTACCGTTGGTTCACCCTCCAATGGCCGCCACGGCTGGCACGCTGTGGCCGGCGCACCGCGCTGATCCAAAGGCAGGAGCCAGGTGCTTTTCCTGGTCTCCCATGGGGTGCAGGGCCCAAGCACCTGGGCCATCCTCCACTGCACTCCCTGGCCACAGCAGAGAGCTGGACTGGAAGAGGGGCAACCGGGACAGAATCTGGTGCCCCAACCGGGACTAGAACCCCGGTGTGCCGGCGCCACTAGGTGGAGGATTAGCCTAGTGAGCCGCGGCGCTGGCCAGCTGTAATATTTTGTTTTTTAGAAATAAAGATATGGGGTGTTGGCATTGTGGTGTAGCAGGTAAAGCTGCCACCTCAGGTGCTGGTTCAAGTCCTGGCTGCTTCACTTCCAATCCAGCTCCCTGCTAATGTGCCTGGGAAAGCAGAAAAGGATGGTCCGAGTGCTTGGGTCCGTGCATTGACATGGAAGACCCAGAAGAAGCTCCTGGCTCCTGGCTTCGGACCAACCCAGCTGCAGCCAATGTGGCGATTTAAGGAGTGAACCAGCAAATGAAAGTGCTCTCTTTCTTCCTGTCTCTCTGTAACTTTGCTTTTCAAATAAATAAATAAATTTTTAAAAAGATGTGAGACAAACACGATGCATTATTAAACAATAAAGCTAGATGGAAGTACATATTATATGTATGACTGGAATAAAAGTATTGTTATTATGAATTGAATTAATCTCCGCAGAAGGTATGTTCAAATCCTAACCTTTAGGGAGGGTTGTTGCTTAAAATCCATGAGGAATTGGTTTCAGGATCCCCATCTCATCTCTCCTAGATACCAAAATCCACAGATCTCAAGTGCCTTATATTCATATAAAATGACATAGAATGGAGGCACTTCAAAATTGAGGCGTAGGCATTTGGTGAAGTACTTAAGTCACCACTTGGAACTCCCACATCCCATATTGGAGGTGCCTGGGTTCTGCCTCAGATTCCAGCTTCCTGTTAATGCACACCCTGGGAGACAGCAGGTGATGGCTCTTGTAACTGAGTTCCTGACACCCACACAGGAGACCCAGATTGAGTTCTGGGCTCCTGGCTTTAGCCCAGTCTCAGCCATTATAGGTGTTTGGTGAGTAAAGGGATTGAGGATTCCTGCCTGTCTGCCTCTGAATCTGCCTTTGAAACAAAAAAAATAAAATTTTTTAAAAGATTTATTCATTTATTCAAAAGTCCGAGTTACACAGAGAGAGAAGAGGCAGAGAGAGAGAGAGAGAGAGAGAGAGAGAGAGAGGTCTTTCATCTGCTGGTTCACTCCCCAATTGGCCACAACAGCTGGAGCTGCACCAATCCAAAGCCAGGAGCCAGGAGCTTCTTCAGTGTCTCCCATGCAGCTGCAGGGGCCCAAGGACTTGGGCCATCCTCTACTGCTTTTTCAGGCCATAGCAGAGAGCTGGATCGGAAGTGGAGCAGCCAGAACTGGTGTCCATATGGGATACCAGCGCTTGAGGCCAGGGCTTTAACCCACTGTGCCATAGCACCAGCCCCAAAAAATAAAATTTTAAAACATAAGTCTCTTTTGTTCAAAAAACTTAGAATGTCATGCATTATTATTTGCATGAACTTTTTAAAGACTCTCATATGCATGGAATTCGAATTTTATACACCAAAATAAATTTATTTTTTAAATTCCATTTTCATGAACTTGTAAAATATGCTCCTATTTGTAAATAACTTATGCACATTATCCTGAATATTTAAGTATATGTAGTCTACTTGTAATACCTAATACAATTTAAATGCTATGTAAATAGTTACCATTCTGTATTAGGGAATAATGACAAAAACAGTCTGCCCATGTTCCATAGAGATAATTTTTTTTTTAATATACTTGGTCTGTGGTTGACTGAATCCACGGATGTGGAACCCTTGGACACAGATGGATGACTATATCTGTGAATCTGAGCATATCTGGAAACAGGGTCTTTGTCAGATGCAACTGGGTTAAGGTGAGATCATTAGAGTGGAACTCGATCTGACTGATGTACTTACAAGAAGAGGAGCAGACAGACTCAGAGAGAAGAAAGCCACGTGATCAGAGAGGCAGAGGTTGGAATATTGCAGATGCAAGCCAAGGAATGGCAAGAATTGACTGCCATCACCAGGAGTGGGGAAGAAGAAAGGATTCTCCTGACGGGTTTCAGAGGGTGCCTGGCCCAACTGACGCTCTGATTTTGGACTTCTGGATTTAATATTTTTTTGTTTTAACCTATTCAGTTTATGATACTCTGACACATGCAGCCCTAGGAAACTAAAACATTCATAAAATGAAGAGGGGTGGATGATTTAGTGGTCATTGAGAGGTCTGCATCCTGGGGCTGGTGCCCTAGCACAGTGGGTTATGCCTCAGCCCGAGATGCCAGCATCTCACATGAGTGCTGGTTAGAGTCCTGGCTGCTCCACTTCTGATCCAGCTCCCTGTTAGTGCACCTGGGAAAGCAGCAGCAGATGGCCCAAGTGCATTCACATGGCCCCTGCCATTCATGTGGGAGACCAGGATGAAGTTCCTGGAGCCTGGCTTTGGTCTGGCCCAGACCTGGTTGTTGAGGCCATACGGGGAGTGAACCAGCAGATGGAAGATGTCTCTCTCTGTCTCTGTCTCACCCCTCTCTAACTCTGCCTTTCAAATAAGTAAATAAATCTTAAAAGGGAGAGAGTGGGCTGTATCCCACATCAGAGCACTTGGGTTTCATTTTCACTTGTGGCTCCTGATTCCAGTTTCCTATTAATGTAAACCCTGGGAGGCATCAGTAATGGCTTAATTGGGTTTCTGCCATGCATGTGGGAGACCTGTATTGTATTCCTGGTCCCTGGTCCAACACTGGCCTTTGCATGCATCTGAGAAGTGAGTAAGTAGATGAAGTTCTGCCTCTGCCTCTAAAATAAGTAAACAGATTTTTCTTTTTTTTTTTAAACTTTTATTTAATGAATATAGATTTCCAAAGTACAGCTTATGGATTACAATGGCTTCCCCCCCCATAACATCCCTCCCCCCGGCAACCCTCCCCTTTCCCACTCCCTCTCCCCTTCCATTCACATCAAGATTCATTTTCATTTCTCTTTATATACAGAAGATCAGTTTAGCATACATTAAGTAAAGATTTCAACAGTTTGCTCCCACACACAGAAACATAAAGTGAAAAATACTGTTTGAGTACTAGTTATAGCATTAAATCTCAATGTACAGCACACTAAGGACAAAGATCCTACATGAGGAGTAAGTGCACAGTGACTCCTGTTGTTGACTTAACAAATTGACACTCTTGTTTATGGCATCAGTAATCAACCTAGGCTCTTGTCATGAGCTGCCAAGGCTATGGAAGCCCCCTGAGTTCAATGATTCTGATAATTTTTAGACAAGGCCATGGTCAAAGTGGAAGTTCTTTCCTCCCTTCAGAGAAAGGTACCTCCTTCTTTGATGACCTGTTCTTTCCACTGGGATCTCACTCGCGGAGATCTTTCATTTAGGGTTTTTTTTTTTTTTTTTTTCCAGAGTGTCTTGGCTTTCCATGCCTGAAATACTCTCATGGGCTTTTCAGCCGGATCCACATGCCTTAAGGGCTGATTCTGAGGCCAGAGTGCTGTTTAGGACATCTGCCATTCTATGGGTCTGCTGTGTATCTCACTTCCCATGTTGGATCATTCTCTCCCTTTTTTTATTCTATCAGCTAGTATTTGCAGACACTATTCTTGTTTATGTGATCCCTTTGGTTCTTAGTCCTATCATTATGATCAATTGTGAACAGAAATTGATCACTGGGACTAGTGAGATGGCATTGGTACATGCCACCTTGATGGGATTGAATTGGAATCCCCTGGTATGTTTTTTTTTTTTTTTTTTTTTTGACAGGCAGAGTGGACAGTGAGAGAGAGAGACAGAGAGAAAGGTCTTCCTTTGCCATTGGTTCACCCTCCAATGGCCGCCGCGCTGTGGCCGGCGCACCGCGCTGATCTGATGGCAGGAGCCAGGAGCCAGGTGCTTTTCCTGGTCTCCCATGGGGTGCAGGGCCCAAGCACTTGGGCCATCCTCCACTGCACTCCCTGGCCACAGCAGAGAGCTGGCCTGGAAGAGGGGCAACCGGGACAGAATCCGGCGCCCCAACAGGGACTAGAACCCGGTGTGCCGGCACTGCTAGGCAGAGGATTAGCCTAGTGAGCCGCGGCGCCGGTCCCCCTGGTATGTTTCTAACTCTACCATTTGAGGTAAGTCAGCTTGAGCATGTCCCAAATTGCACATCTCTTCCCTCTCTTGTTCCCACTCTTATATTTAACAGTGATCACTTTTCAGTTAAGTTTCAGCACTTAAGAAGAATTGTGTATTGATTACAGTATTCAACCAAAAGTATTAAGTAGAACAAACAAAAAAAATACTAAGAGGGATAACATATCAAAATGCCGGCGCCGTGGCTCACTAGGCTAATCCTCCGCCTAGCGGCGCCGGCACACCGGGTTCACACCGGGTTCTAGTCCCAGTTGGGGCGCCGGATTCTGTCCCGGTTGCCCCTCTTCCAGGCCAGCTCTCTGCTGTGGCCCGGGAGTGCAGTGGAGGATGGCCCAAGTGCTTGAGCCCTGCACCCCATGGGAGACCAGGATAAGTACCTGGCTCCTGGCTTCAGATCAGTGTGGTGCGCTGGCCACAGAGCGCGGGCCACAGAGGCCATTGGGGGGCGAACCAATGGCAAAAGGAAGACCTTTCTCTCTGTCTCTCTGTCTCACTGTCCACTCTGCCTGTCAAAAAAATAAAAAAAAAAAAAAAAAATCTGTTAGCTTTTTTTCTTTTTTAATGAAGAAACTAAAGATATATGTGTTCATGATCCAAAAAAATTCTCATTTTTAATTATTACTGCTTGGAACCAGTTTATTTGTGTGCTCCTGGAGATATATTAATTTGGAAAAACAGAACCACAATTAGATTCTAGTACTCAAAGTTGGGTTTACGGATAGTTTATTATCTTGATTACAGCAATAGTTTACTGGATGCGTACATAAGACAAGACATATCAAAATGTCTTTTATATAGGTACATTTTACTGCATATCAATTATACCCCAACAAAAATGCTATTTTTTAAGATTTACTCCGTTATTTATTTGAAAGGCAGAGTGACAGAGAAAGAGAGAGGGAGAGACAGAGAGATTCACAACATTTGGAAAAGATTTAAGAACAGTCCAGATTTAGAAGCAAGAGAAGATTCTGAGAGATTTGGAAGAAACTATCCAAAGGCAGAAGTTAGTCCATTCAGACTAAGCCAAACAACTTATAGACAACAGACATGTATTTCTCACAGTTCTGGATGGTGAGAATTCCAAAATCAAGGAGCCAGAGAACCTGGATTCTGCTGAGAGCCCACTTCCTGTACCACAGTCAGCCATCCTCTCATGGTAGCTCACTGTAAATATATGTATTAAATTCTCTTGGGTACATATGGGGGAGCAGAATTGCTAGGTCATTGGATAATTGGATTTTTAACAGAGAGGAACTGTCAAATTTGAGCTTTCTAAAGTGGCAGCACTATTTTACACTCCCACTAGCAGTATATGAAACTCACAATTTTTCTATATCCTCACCAACACTTTTATTTTAGTCACCCTAGTTGAGTACAATGTACTTTCTTACCGAAGTTTTAATTTACATGTCTCATTACTATGCTGAGTGTTCTTTAGAATGTTTAATGGCTTCCTGAGCATCTTCCTGGGAGAGATGTCAGCTCCAATCCTTTGCTTGTTGTCAGAATTTTGAGATCTATTCTGCACAAAGATGTGGTATTGCCATTTGAGATAAATAAAAGTACTTACATTTTGCTTTCTCTTCATCTCTGCCTCTTGTAAGGAGGACAAGTCCAACTATTAAGTTATTGAAGTGCAGCCCTTTGGACGTTCCACCAAAAGAACAGTAAATCACCTGTAAGAAAACGGTAAAGGCAATTTTAGGAGCTGTTTCAGTTGTGGAGGACTTTAAGGTGGGTATAACCTTTAACAAATCTTGTCTTCATTTTTAGACAAGGATCCGGTAAATTTTAGTGAAATTGTTCCTTTTTTGTACCTTGTTACGGCATTTAGCCAAGATTACACTGTCATCAACTCTAAAATACATGGATTACAGGCTCACATGAGTGAATAAATATTCTGTTTTTAAAAAGATTTCTTGGGGCCAGCACTGTGGTGTAGTGGGTAAAGCTGCTGCCTGCAGAGCCAGCATCCCATATGAGCGCCGGTTCGAGGCCCAGATGCTCCACTTCAGATCCAGCTCTCTACCATGGCCTGGGAAAGCAGTAGAGGATGGCCCAACTGCTTGGGCCTCCGCACACGCATGGGAGACCCAGAGGAAGCTCCCAGCTCCTGGCTTCAGATAGGCACAGCTCCAGCCATTGTGGCCATCTAGGGAGTAAACCAGCCTATGGAAAACCTCTCTCTCTGCCTCAGCCTCTCTGTAACTCTGCCTTTCAAATAAATAAATAATTTTTTTTTTTAAGATCAGACCCTTGGGTTGTCTTTTATTTATTTATTTTAATTTATTTGAAAGATAGAGTCACAGAGAGAGGTCTTCTATCTACTGGTTAACCCCCCAGATGGCCACAACAGTTGGAGCTGAGCCAATCCAAAGCCAGGAGCCAGGAGCTTCTTCCAGGTCTCCCATGTGGGTGCAGGGGCCCAAGCACTTGGGCCACCTTCTACTGCTTTCCCAGGCCACAGCAGAGAGCTGGATTGGAAGAGGAGCAGCGGGAACTAGAACCAGCGCCTATATGTGATGCCGGTCTTCAGGCCATGGCTTTAACCTGCTGTGCCACAGCGCTGACCCCAATAAATCAATCTTAAAAAAAAAAAAAAAAAAAAAAAAGATTTCTTTTATTTGAAAGGAAGCATGGCAGTGAAAGAGACAAAGAGAGATCCTCCATCTGCTAATTCATTCCTCAAATGCCCACAACAGTCGGGTATAGGCCAGGCTAAAGCCAGAAGCCAGGAACTCCATTCAGGTCTTCCATGTGAGTGGCAGGAACCCAGGCACTCAGGCTATCAATTAGTGCCCCCAGGTGAGTTAGCAGGAAGCCTGATGAATGCAAAGTAGCTAGAACTCAAACAAATGTAATGGAGGCAACCCAAGCTGTGGCTTAACTGGTTTAATCCTCTGAGACACAATGCTCGCACCATGAATATACTTCTTTGGAGTCTATATCAAGGTCCAATAGGATAAAGGTCTTCCTTCAATAACTGCAACCATGTGATAAGGACTCAGTATAATTACAGAGCTTCCGTCAACCTTAGTTAAATATATTATATCTTGATTGCAAAGAAAGATACTATCTAGGGGCCGGGTGCTGTGGCTTAGTGAGTAAAACCGCCGCCTGCCTCCAGTGCCGGCATCCCATATGGGTGCCGGTTCAAGTCCCGGCTGCTCCACTTCCAATCCAGCTCTCTGCTATGGCCTAGGAAAGCAGTAGAAGATGACTCAAGTCCTTGGGCCCCTGCAGCTGCATGGGAGACCCAGAAGAAGCTCCTGGCTCCTGGCTCCCAGCTCCTGGCTTCTGATCGGCACAGCTCTGGCCATTTCGGCCATCTGGGGAGTGAATCGGCAGATGGAAGACCTCCCTCTCTCTCTCTCTCTCTCTCTCTCTCTCTCTCTCTCTCTCTGCCTCTGCCTCTCTGTAACTCTGCCTTTTCAAATAAATAAGTAAATCTTAAAAAAAAAAAAAAAAAAAAAGAGGCCGGCGCCGCGGCTCACTAGGCTAATCCTCCGCCTAGCGGCGCCGGCACACCGGGTTCTAGTCCCGGTCAGGGCGCCGGATTCTGTCCCGGTTGCCCCTCTTCCAGGCCAGCTCTCTGCTGTGGCCCGGGAGTGCAGTGGAGGATGGCCCAGGTGCTTGGGCCCTGCACCCCATGGGAGACCAGGAAAAGCACCTGGCTCCTGGCTCCTGCCATCGGATCAGCGCGGTGCGCCGGCCACAGCGCGCCGGCCGCGGCGGCCATTGGAGGGTGAACCAACGGCAAAGGAAGACCTTTCTCTCTGTCTCTCTCTCTCACTGTCTACTCTGCCTGTCAAAAAAAAAAAAATAAAATAAAAAATAAAAAAAAGAAAGATACTATCTAACCGAATCTTCAGAAACACAAAAAGACCACAAAAGATACTTCTTTCATACTCTCAGAAATGAGTTAAAGCCACACTAATCACTACACATTCATTCAATCACAACTGAGTTGCTAGCATTTATAATGCAGAATCTTTGCCAGCACTATGGCATAGTGGGTTAATGCCCCGGCTGGCCTGCAGTGCTGGCAACTCATATGAATGCCAATCCGAGTCCCAGCTGCTCCACTTCCGATCCAGTTCCCTGCTGATGGCCTGAGAAAGCAATGGAAGATGGCTCAGGTGCTTGGGCCCCTGCATCCACCACATGGGAGACATGAAAGCAGGTTCTGTTTCCTGGCTTTAGATAGGCACAGCTCTGGCCCTCGCAGCCATATGGGGAGTGAATCAGCAGATGGAAGAACTCTCTCTCTCTAACTTTACTTCTCAAACAAATAAATAAATCTTTTTTAAAAAAATGTATGATTAAAGAATAATTCAAGGACTGGCACTGTGATGCAGTGGGTTAAGCTGCTGCCTATAACATCCCACCACATACGGGCACCTGTTTCAGTCCTGGCTGCTCCACTTCCAACTAACATCCTGTTAATGTGCATAGGAAAGCACTAGAAGATGGCTCAAGTGCTTAAGCCCCTACACCCTCCAGGGGCGACCCAGATGGAAATCCAGGCTCCTGGAGTCAGCTTTGCCCAGCCTCAACAGCCATTGTGGCCTTTTGGAAGGCTTAACCTGCTACACCACAGCACCCACCCCTATTGTAGCCTTTTGGGAAGTGAACTACCAGATGGAAGATCTGTCATCTGCTCTCTCACTCGCTTTCTAATTCTTCCTCTTCTCTGTAATTCTACATTTCAAATAAATGAACCTTTTTAAAAAAAATTCAGGAAATAAAACTTCAATGGTCAACAAATGATTTTTTACAAAAGATTTATTAATTTACTTGGAAGTGAGAGTTACACAGAGAGAGAAGAGAGGCAGAGAGAGAGGTCTTCCATCCACTGGTTCACTCCCCAGTTGGCTGCAATGGCTGGTATTGTGCCAATCCAAAGCCAGGAGCCAGAGCTTCTTCCGGGTCTTCCACACAGGTGCAGGGGCCCAAGGACTTGGGCCATCCTCTACTGCTATCCCAGGCCACAGCAGAGAGCTGGATCAGAAGTGGAGCTCCGGCCGGAGAGTGAACCAGTGGATGGGAGACCTCTCTCTCTCTCTCTCTCTTTCTCAGTGAACCAGTGGATGGGAGACCTCCCCCCCCCATGTGTGTGTGTAACTGTGACTTTTAAGTAAAATAAATAAATCTAAAAAAAAAAAAAAAAAAAAAAGGCCGGCGCCGTGTCTCACTAGGCTAATCCTCCGCCTTGCGGCGCCGGCACACCAGGTTCTAGTCCCGGTCGGGGCGCTGGATTCTGTCCCAGTTGCCCCTCTTCCAGGCCAGCTCTCTGCTGTGGCCAGGGAGTGCAGTGGAGGATGGCCCAAGTGCTTGGGCCCTGCACCCCATGGGAGACCAGGAGAAGCACCTGGCTCCTGCCTTTGGATCAGTGCGGTGCGCCGGCCGCAGCGCGCTGGCTGCGGCGGCCATTGGTGGGTGAACCAACGGCAAAAGGAAGACCTTTCTCTCTGTCTCTCTCTCTCACTGTCCACTCTGCCTGTCAAATAAATAAATAAATAAATAAAATAAATTAAAAAAAAAAGGTGAATGTATTATCAGATTAAATCTTTTCCTTCTAACAAATCACATAAGTAAACCAACCCCCTCATATGCCTAACCAAAGGGTAGCCTAGACATTAGACAAAACTGAAGATTCTGGGTCCACGGTGTGGTGTAGCAGGTTAAGCCACTGCCTGTGACTCCTGCTGCCCCACTTCTGATCCAGCTCAATGCTAGGATGTGGGAAAGCAGCAGAAGACTGACCAAGTGTTTGGGCCGCTGTCCCATGCTGGAGCGGCCCAGCCCCAACAGTTGTGGCCTTTTGGGGAATGAACAAGCAAATGGAAGTGTGCTCGCTCACTCTAACTTTGCCTTTCAAATAAATAGAAAATAAATTTTACCAAAAAACCTGAAGGTTCTTTGTTTCACAGAGACCATGATCCAGAAATTTAAAATGATAAAGTAACTGAAATAACATATAAGAATGAAGATAAGTGCATGCCAATTTTCTTTCGGCAAATATGATTAGACAAGGTCTCAGAATACATTTTAGGTAATATAGTAAATTATGAATTAAGTAATTATACCTAGGACCATGCAAACCTGGTTGAAGAATCATAAACATAAAGAATATTGATTAAAAGTTCTCTCTCTTCTTTGGAAAGAAGGCTCTAAAAGAATGCAGGCAGAGGGCTTAAACCACTATGCCACAACACCAGCCCCAACTGGCCTTAAATCATGACCATAAACATTTTATCAATGATTTGGACTATGACAAAGAAACTATGTGTATCAATTTTGTAAATTTCAAAGCTGAGAGGGAAGGTTAAAGGCAACAAGATTAAATATATTTAAATACAGTTTTCTTAAACACTCAGCATACTTAAGGACAGGAGAACAAGATGAAGCTTAGAAATTTTAGTCAGTAAAGCTATGACCTTTTTGCTTGTTTAAGCTAATACAATTTTATGCTACACAGTAGTGATTAAAGAATTAAATATGTTCCCCACTGTTTACTAATCTAATTCCAGCTAGAGAACAGCATGGGATTAACTGGTAGGCACATTAAATATGGCTAAGGAGCAGCAGGAGAAAAGGACTTGTTCACGTCCCTAGAAGGGAAGGATCCAGTTTTCCAATTCCAACAGCTGAATTCCATCTCTGAAAGGTAGCAGATTTCCAACAGAGACTCTAGCAAAAACTTTAGATAGTGATGTGTGACAAAAATCATCAGTGGCTCCTATCTTCACTATTATGTCCAAAGCCAGAAAATACAAACTGGTAAATTTACACAACTATTTCAATGACCCCAAATTTAAACAGAGTAAAACCCCAAATCAAAAATTTCACGATATCCTAGATCTTGTTCAAGCTCATTTGCTACACTGTAAAAGTAACATTAAGGGGAAGGATGTGAATGAAAAATTGACCATTTTTAAAAATAGGAGTTATGGGGCCAGTGTCGTGGCATAGCAGGTTAAGTCATTGCTTCCAATGCTAGCATCTCATATCAGAAAGCAGGTTGGGGTCTTTGCTGTTCCACTTCCAATCCAACTTCCTGTTAATGTGTCCGGGTAGGCAGCAAATAATGAGCAAACTTCTTGGGCCCATCATACATGTGAGAGAGCCAGAAGGAGTTCCTAGCTCCAGGCTATATCCTGGCCCATTCCTGGCTGTTGTGGCCATTTGGAGAGTGAACCAAGCAGATGGGAGATTTTTCTCTCCGTCTCTTCTTTTCTCTCTGATACTCTGCTTTTCTAAAAAATAAATAGGCCAGCGTCATGGGTCACTTGACTGATCATCTGCCTGCGGCGCTGGCACCACGGGTTCTAGTCCCGGTTGGGGCAGTGGAGGATGGCCCAAGTCCTTGGGCCCTGCACCTGCGTGGGAGACCAGGAAGAAGCACCTGGCTCCTGGCTTTGGATTGGCGCAGTGCGCTGGCCGTAGCAGCCATTTGGGAGGTGAACCAACGGGAAAGGAAGACCTTTCTCTCTGTCCCTCTCACTGCCTAACTCTGCCTGTCTAAAAATAAAAATAAAAATAAAGAAATAAATCTTTTGAAGAAGTTATTACAATGTGGTATTATTATGGGATATTATTCAGGCACAAAAAGGGATGAAGTTGGCCGGTGCTGTGGTGCAGTGGGCTGAACCTCTGCCTGCAGCACCAGCAACCCATACAGGTGCTGGTTTGTGTCCTGGATGCTCCATTTCCAATCCAGCTCTCTGCCATGGCCTGAGAAAGCAGTGGAAGACGGCCCAGGTGCTTGGGCCCTGAACCCTCATGGGAGACCTGGAAGAAGCTCCTGATTCCTGGCTTTACATTGGCCCAGCTCCAGCCACTGTGACCACTTGGGGAACGAACCACTGGATGGGAGACCTTTCTATCTCTCCCTCTGTCTGTAACTCTCTCAAATAAATAGAAGCTTTCAAAAGGGGGGGGGGGGGATGAAATTAGAAAAATGAGACAACATAGATGAACCTGGAAAGCATTCTCCTAAGAGAAATAAGGCAAACACAAAAGGGCAAATACACATGATTTCACTTACATCGTTTAGAAAGGCAATTCATCCTTTTTGTTGTTGTTGTTCATTGATTTATTTATTTATTTAAAAGCCAGAGACAGAGACAGAAACAGAGAGAGAGAGAGAGAGAGAGAGAGAGAGAGATCTTCCATCTGCTGATTCACTCCCTACATGACCTCAAAGGCCAGGGCTGGGCCAGACCAAAGCCAGGAGCCTGCAGCTTCTTCCATGTCTCCCTATGTGGGTGCAGGGGCCCAGTGACTTGGGCCATCCTGCACTGCCCGAGGCACATTAGTTGGGAATATCAGAAGTGCAGCAGTCATAACTTGAACTGACACCTATATGGGATGCCAGCATCACAGGCTTTTCCCACTACACCACAATGCCAGCCCCTAGAAAAGGCAATTCATAAGAACTGAGAGTAGATTTGAGGCTCCCATTACTGCTGCTTACGGGATTCAAAGTTTCTGTTTGGAGTTATCAAAAAGTTTTAGGAAAAGAAAATGGTGATAGCTATGTAATTCTGTTAAAATAACTAGTGCTGACAAATGATACACTTAAAAATGGCAAATTTTATATGTATTTTACCAAAATAAGAAATGTATAAAGCTAGTTATTAGTGAACTATAGATACCCAGATTAAGAATATTCTGATAACATGAGGAAGCAGAAAGGAAGAGGGGAGAAGGAGGAGGGAGAAGGAGCTTTCTGTCAAGGCTGGGAACTGGAAACCCAATCCAAGTCTCCAACGTGGATGGCAGAAAGCCAAATATTTGAGTCATCACCACTTCCTCCCAGGGCCTGTAGTGGCAGGAAGCTGGAATCAGAAGCCAGAGTCACTAGCTGAGCCTAGGCACCCCACTGTGGGATGTGAGCATCCTAACCAGCATCTTAACTATTAATCCAAATGCTTGTTCCAGTCAAATGGCTTTTGATATTTCAAGTTTCACTGGATAACCACAAAAGTCACCAAGCACACCGGCTCATCCTGCATTCCTAGTTTTAAAAGTACAGGCTGAAAATGAGTATATTTTATTGATGTCATTTATATATATATTTAAAAGATTTATTTATTTATTTGAAAGGCAGAATGAGAGAGAATCTTCAATCCACTGGTTGAAGACAGGAGCCAAGAACTCCATCCTGGTCTCCTAAATGGGTGGCAAGAGCCCAAATACTTGGACCATCATTGGCTGTTTCCAGGCACATAAGCAAGAAGCTGGATCAGAAGGGGTAACTGGGACTTTGGCACTCTGATACGAGATGCTGATATCACCAGCTGAAGTTTAACCAGCTGCACCACAATACCTGTCACACATTTGTACTTGTTTTTCTTGTTTAACATTTTATTTTTAATTATTCGAGAGGTGGAGTAACAAAGACAGAGACAGAGATATAGATCGTCCATGCTTTGACTCAATCCCAAACAGCCACAATGGCCATGGCTGGAACAGGCCAAAGCCAGGAGCCAGAAACTCCAACCAGGTCTCCCACATGGGTGGCAGCAGGCCAAGCACTTGGGTCATCTTCCATTGCTTTCCCAGAGGCATTAGCAGGGAGATGAATCAGAAGTTCAAGAGCTGGGATTCAAACAGACACACCAATGTGCAAAGCTGGCATCACTGGTAGTGGCTTAACCTACTGTGCCATAATGCTGGTCTCTATTTTTGGATTTAAAAGGCAGCAATCTTGAAAGTACACTAACACAATTAATGTAAGAGCAAAACATAATTAAATTCTCATCAGCCTTCTTAAGTCTCTTTCTTAGTAAAGAAAGCATAAACTTCCTGAGATGGTTTTCTAATATATATAATTTTGAAGTTCAAAATTATAAATCTACTATGTGAAACTTTCTAATATTACTCAAAGAACAGCAAAATTTATTTCTTTCCCTATTTTATTGGGTATAGTTGATAAAATTTATATAATTAATGAATACCGTGTGATTTTCTATATGTATACACTGTAAGATGAGTGACACAATCACACTAATTAATATAGCTAACCCTTCCCAGTTATCTTTCTCTGTGTGTGGTGAGAATGCTTAAGGATCTACCCTTAGGAAATTTCCAAAATGCATTATTACTAACTATTTCACTATGCTATCAGGATGCACTGCTGTATAACTAAAATGCTCACTGCCTAGGAAAGAATCCTAGCATTTACTTAAAAACAAAAAGCCTACAAGAACTTGGTTTAAAAGGATTGTGCTGGGGCCAGAGCTGCGGCATAGAAGGTTAAGCCTCCGACTGCAGGGCTGGCATCCCACACGGGCACCAGTTCAAGTCCTGGCTGCTCCATTTCCAATCCAGCTCCCTGCTAATCTGGGAAAGCAGCAGAGGATGGCCCAAGTCCTTGGGCCCCTGCACCCATGTGGGAGACCAGGAAAAGGTTCTTGGCTCTTGATCTAGGCTTGGCCCAGCCCCAGACATTGCGTTCATTTGGGGAGTGAACCAGCAGATGGAAGACTGATAATCTCTCTCTCCCCTCTCCCCTCCATATCTCTTCCTTTCAAGTAAACAAATACATCTTAAAAAGGCCGTTGCTTCTGTAAGCCCTTCCACTGGCTATTAGAGCAGATACTACCTTCAGGTTAGACGTACAAGGAGGCAATCACAGTCTCACAATATATTTGGCAACTCTTACTTGCATATCACGATGTAAACCTTATTACTAAACAGTAAAATATTTACAAGGTTTAAACTTAAAGCACAGTGTGCTTGTAAGAGGGAGGAACAGAAATTCACACACAATGCTTGACCTAGTCTTACTGGTTAGGTTTCAACAGAGGTGCGGCAACACAGAGGCATGCAAAAGCAGCTCATTTGTTATACAGATGCAACTTACTGAATCACTTCTCTGAAAAATAAAAACAGTTTCATCAATGATTTCTATACTCAAACCTACTGAGTATCATCATGCTAGAGATGTTGAGTTTTCAAGCACATGCTTTGCTTTGGAAAAGAAAAAAAAATCACCTTTTTAGTTTTCAAATACAGAAGTAGGAAGATACTGGTTGGTACATTTCTCTACCCTCTTGAAGTTCAGTAGAACTCTAAGCGACTCACTTGAGGCCTGACCTATCCTGTCAGATCAGTCATCTTACGCCGTGGCCTCATGGAACTACTCAGAAAATTCGAAGACTGTCTACAAAACAAAACCAAACAAAACTCAACACAAAAGTTGCCCTTAAAGTCACTCAAATTGTTCTAATTATTAAGAAACAAAGAAATCACTCCCAGCTTACCAGTCAACTATATAGGGACAATTTGTGAAAATGACTGTTTAGAATACAGAATGCATTTTCCCTCATAATTAATGATGAGTTTTCACCTGGCTAATTCTCAGCATTCTACTTAAATTATAATTTGGTTTTAAAAAACTGAGCAACAGGGCCAGCCCTGTGGTATAGTAGGCTAGACTTCTGCTTGCAGTGCCAGCATCCCACATGGGTGCTGGTTCCAGTCCTGGCTGCTCCACTTCCAATCCAGCTCTCTGCTATGGCCTGGGAAAGCAGTAGAAATGGCCCAAGTGCTTGGGCCCCTGCACCCATGTGGGAGACCTGGAAAAAGCTCCCAGTTCCTGGCTTCAGATTGGCCCAGCTCCAGCCATTGTGGCCATTTGGGGAGTGAACCAGCAGATGGAAGATCTCGCTCTCTAACTCTGCTTTTAAAATAAAATAAATAAATCTTTAAAATATAAAAGGAGATGGTCCAAGTGCTTGGGTACTTGCACCCATGTGGGAGATCCAGAAGAGGCTCCTGGCTCCTGTCTTCAGATCAGCTCAGCTCCAGGCACTGCAGCCATTTGGGGAGTGAACCAGAGGATGGAAGACCTTTCTCTCTGCCTCTCCTTCTAACTCTCAAATAAATAAATAAAATCTTGTTTTTTTTTTTTTTTAAATGAGCAATGAACAACAATTATAAAAGGATTTTAAAAGCATACTACTGTGAACATACATATTTCATCTTTATTATCAATAAGCCAGAAGCTAGCATGGGAATGCAGCCATCCTTTACAAAACATACTTTCCAGGGGGAAACATCTGTACTACACAGTGAAAAGGTAATAATAAAGACAAAAATATGTCTCTGCCCCTCCTTCTTTTCATGGTCCTTTCCAGTCTCTGCTAGTGAGATTATTGGGCAAATGTAATCTAAACAAAGTAAGCAACTGGAGTTGGAGCATGGGGCATTATCAGGTCTGAATTGTACTTCAAAAAAAATTTATTTACTTATTTATTCATATGAAAGACAGAGCAACAGAGAAAGAGAGATCAATCGTCCATTCACTGGCTCGGTCCCCCAAATGTCCTCAATAGCTGGGTCTGGGCCAGGTAAAGTCATGCACATCTCCCACATGGGTGACAAAAATCCAAGTACCATCCACAGCTTCCCAGGCACATTGGCAGGAAGCTGGATGGAAAGTGGAGATGTGACTACACCCCAGTTACTCTGATACAGTGTATCTGCAATCCAAGCAGCAGCATTAACCTGTAGTGCCACAACGCCTTTAATTAGCCATCTGCCATAAACTGTATTTGATAATACAAAAAAAAAAAAAAAAACATTCCCAGAACTTGAACTGTCATTGATCCACTGATTATGAATCAATCAAGCAGGCTATAACATGTATAGCCTCTCTCTGACCATTCCTTCCTCTCATTTCCAGTAATTCAGTTCAAGTTAAGAAGGAATGAGACAGACAGAGCACACTTTCTAAATTTATACCCATTGGCTACTGCCAACACACCCAGAGTGAAGTCAACAATAACACCTGGGAAAGTCTGTAAAGGCAGTCATAGGGACTGACTTTAAAGACATGTGGGGGCCAGCACTGTGACGTAGCAGGTAAAGCTACTGCCTGTAGCACCAGCATCCCATATGGGTGCCAGTTCAAGTCTCAGCTGCTCCACTTCCTATCTGGCTCTCTGCTATGGCCTGGGAAAGCAGTAGAAGGTCCTTGGGCCCCTGCACCCGCTTGGGAGACCTGGAAGAAGCTCCTGGCTTCTGGCTTCAGATCGGGCAGCTCCAGCCGTTGTGGCCATCTGGGGTGTGAACCAGCGGATGGAAGACCTCTCCCTCTCCCTCTACCTCTCCCCCTCCCCCTCCCTCCCTCCCTCCCTGTCTCTGTCTCTTTCTCTCGGCCAAGCTCCAGCCATTTGTGGCCATTTGGGGAATAAACCAGAGGATGGAAAATTTCTTTCTCTCTCTCTCTCTCTCTCTCTCTCTCTCTCTCTCTCCCCCACCCCTCCCCCTCATCTCTGTGTAACTCTTTCAAATAAATAAAGATTAAAAAAAAAAAAAAGATATGTGGACTCTGTTATTTTAAAGAATGGTGAAGAGGTGCCAGTTCTGTGGTGTCACAGGTAAAGCTACTGCCTGCAGTGTCGGCATCCCAGATGCTCTACTTCAGATCCAGCTCTCTGCTGTGACCTGGGAAAGCAGTAGAGGATGGCCCAAGTGCTTGGGCCCCTGCACCCACATGGGAGACCTGGATTTCGATTGGCACAGCTCTAGCTGTTGTAGCCATCTGGGGAATGAACCAGGAATGGGAGACTCTCTGTCTCTCCTTCTCTCTCTGTGTAACTCTGACATTCAAATAAATAAATAAATAAATCTTAAAAAAAAAAAAAGAATAGTGAAGAAATGTGATAATTTTGTGCGAAGACATTCTTAATTGTTTGCTCAGCAACCAAAGATACCTACTTAATAAACAGAAGTTCTGGGACATCTTCTTGTCAAGCAAACTTAAAAAACATTGTACTTCATGGGGCATTTAGCCTGGTCATTAAGATGCTGGTTGAGATGTCAGATCCCATATCACGGGTTCAATTTCTGACTTTAGCTCCTGACTCCAGCTAGATTTGCTAAAGCAGATCCTGGGAAGCAGCAGTGATGACTCAAGTAATTGGGTTCCTACCACCACACCTAGATTGAGTGTCAGGAGACCTAGACTGAGTGTCAGGTCCCTGGCTCCGGTGTGGCTAGATTTGTTTTTGCTTTTGTTTTTAATTATTACTATTATTAAAGGCTGAAGTCACAGTCACTATACAAAAGGGAAAGAATGACATAACAAATCAATTATGGGCATGATTGTGTTTGCAGTGAAACTCTGGCTAAACAACTCTGGAACCAAAAAGATTAGCATGTTAATACTAATTTCTTTGCCCTTTTATTTAAGAGTTATATTGCCTTGGATAAATTACAACTTCAGCTCGCTCATCTAGAAAATGGAATTAACGGGGCTGGCGCTGTGGCACAGCGGGTTAATGTCCTGGCCTGAAGTGCTGGCATCCCATATGCGCGCCAGTTCTAGTCCCGACTGCTCCTCTTCCGATCCAGCTCTCTGCTGTGGCCTGGGATAGCAGAAGATGGACCAAGTCCTTGGGCCCCTGCACTGGTGTGGGAGACCCAAAAAAGCTCCTGGCTCCTGGCTTCAGATCAACGCAGCTCTGGCCGTTGCAGCCAGTTGGGGAGTGGACCAATGGAAAGAAGGCCTCTTTCTGTCTCTACCTCTCTCTATAACTCTGTCTTTCAAATAAATAATAAAAAAATCTTTTTAAAAAATGGGTAGTGGGGCTGGTGCTGTGGCACAGCGGGTTAATGCCATGGCCTGAAGCGCCAGCATCCCATATGGGCGCCAATTCGAGATGCGGCTGCTCCACTTCCGATCCAGCTCTCTGCTATGGCCTAGGAAAGCAGTAGAAGATGGCCCAAGTCCTTGGACCCCTGCACCCGTGTGGGAGACCCGGAAGAAGCTCCTGGTTCCTGGCTCCTGATCAGCGCAGCTCCAGCCGTTGTGGTCAATCGGGGAGTGAATCATAGGATGGAAGACCTCTCTCCCTCTCTGTGTAACTCTGACTTTCAAATAAATAAATAAATCTTTAAGGCCGGCGCCGCGGCTCACTAGGCTAATCCTCCGCCTAGCGGCGCCGGCACACCGGGTTCTAGTCCCGGTCGGGGCGCCGGATTCTGTCCCGGTTGCCCCTCTTCCAGGCCAGCCCTCTGCTGTGGCCAGGGAGTGCAGTGGAGGATGGCCCAGGTGCTTGGGCCCTGCACCCCATGGGAGACCAGGAAAAGCACCTGGCTCCTGGCTCCTGCCATCGGATCAGCGCGGTGCGCCGGCCGCAGCGCGCCGGCCGCGGCGGCCATTGGAGGGTGAACCAACGGCAAAGGAAGACCTTTCTCTCTGTCTCTCTCTCTCACTGTCCACTCTGCCTGTCAAAAAAATAAAATAAAAAAAATAAAAAAAAAAAATTAAAATAAAAAAAAGACCTCTCTCTCTGCCTCTCTGTAACTCTGCCTTTCACATAAATAAATAAATCTTTAAAAAAAAAAATGGGTAGTAACATTAGCACTTGCCTATGACAAATGCTACATAACCTAAGTGAGCTGTCAAATTAAAAACTCACAAGTTCAATTGCAAATTGATTTTTTTTAAATTTATTTATTTTAAAGGCAGAGTTACGGGGGGGGGGGGTGTCTTCCATCCGCTGGTTCACTCCCCAGATGGCCGCAATGGCCGGAGCTGCGCCGATCCAAAGCCAGGAGCCAGAAGCCTCCTCCAAGTCTCCTACGCAGCTAACAGGGGCCATCTTCCACTGCTTTTCCAGGCCATAGCAGAGAGCTAGATCAGAAGTGGGGCAGCCGGGACTCTAACCAGCGCCCATATGGGATGCCAGCAATGCAGGTGGCAGCTTTACTCGCTATGCCACAGTGCCAGCCAAACACAATCTTACCCAATACTCAGAGTCAACAACATTAATGCAATAACCCAGCTAAACAATATTGTTAAAAGTGCTAAGTGACATATTTGTAAAATAGCTCATCAACTAACTAGAACATATTTGCAAAATATCTAATCAACTAGAACATAGTAATAACTGAAGTCTTGTACAATGATACAATATTTCTAAGGGAAAAGTTTCCATCTCTTGTAGCATATGCAAAAATGTTATTATGTACCACCCATGTTATTGCCATTTTGGGGGTCATCTGGAATTACCCATAAGAAAGTAAAACTGGGGCAGGCATTTGGCCTTGTGCTTAAGGTGCCAGGTAAGGTGTTTGTATCCCATATTGGAGTGCCTGGCTGGAGCCTCAGCTCTGGCTCCCAATTTCAGCTTTCTGATAATGCAAACTCTG